TCTTTTCCTGTATATTTCTCATAAAATTAGGGCATTCAAAGAACATTTTTAGATTTTTTTTTCTATAAAAGTTTCTGTCAAAATGTGGAGTTTTCGTGTCATTTCCGGTCAAAAACTAAAACATTCTGATGACAATTTTTGTAAAATTATTTTTTGAAAATTACATCTTTTCTTGCATGTTTCCCATAAAATTAGGGCATTTAACGAACAGTTTTAGAAATTTTTTTCTATGAAAGTTTCTGTCAAAATGTGGAGTTTTCGTGTCATTTCCGGTCAAAAACTAAAACATTCTGATCACAATTTTTGTAAAATTATTTTTTTTTAATTACATCTTTTCCTGCATGTTTCTCATAAAATTAAGGCATTTAGAAAACATTTTTAGAAATTTATTTCTATAAAAATTCTGTCAAAATGTGAACTTTTCATGTTGTTTTTGCTCAATTTGGTCAACGACTTTAGGGGGAAGTTATGGTGAAAAATGTGGAGGATGATAAAAGTTAGAGACATGTACTCACCCATCTGTGTCTTGGAAGTTGACGTTCACCTTCTTGGCTGAACCGAGGAGCTCTGGAAGACAACGGGAGCAGAGCGTGAGTGGGGGGAAGGGGGGTCAAGGAGAAACAACAGTGCCACCTAGTGAGTTTTGTATCGTTGAAACTGTAAATAAATCACTGACACCTGAAGAGAGTCTCATACGGAACCTGTCGACACTCTGATCAGGACTCAGTAAAACTGTATCAATCTGTGACTGTGGTTTTAGAAATAAACACATCACTCAGAGCCTCCGTCTGATTCTGTGAATGCAACTGAAACATTAATACTGTATATACATAGAACTACAGAAACACACTGACAAAATCACTGAGACATGTGGAACTTCTGATCATAAGGTTCCAGACATCAGAGCTGATGTCTGGAACATTTTAAAACATACACACATAACCTGATGTGAAGATGGAACAGCTTTGTATCTTCAGCTCAGTATATCCTTGTTACTATAGTATCGCAACATATCGGATCCTTATCCCCGTATCACGATACGTATGGACCGATTCTGTCCAGTACACAGCCGTACTTCCTACGGTGTACTCCTCTGTGTATTTTCACCAGTTCTACTACATCACACAGTTAAGTGTCTTTCATTGATTTGGCTCTGCTGCCTCTCTGTCTCACACTGATGACGTCACAGATTCGCCCGTTTGCTACGCGTGTCCCCAACAACTGCTGTAACGGTGGACGACTGTAACGGTGGACGACTGTTCCTGTGGGCTGTCTCTCTGCTGCCTGTTGTTGGACCACAGCCTGGAACAGAACCTTCAGTTATTTTTATGGATTGTTTTCTATTTGGTGCATTCTGTCTTTATGTCTGCGCTCAGTGGTAGTGAGTACAAATATCAGATACTCTCTCTCTCTCTCTCCCTCTCTCTCTCCCTCTCCCTCTCCCTCTCTCACCCTTTTCTCTCCCACTCTCCAGCACACAGGAAACAGGACAGTCCGTCTATTGTAGAGTAGACGCCACAGGGGGAGGAACATCGATTTCCTTACAGGCTATTTCTGTCTGCTAAGAGCAGGGATTCACACACACACACACACACACACACACACACACACACACACACAGGAGCAGCATCTCCAGCCTGTGTTGTGACAGGACTTTAAAGAAACAGAACCTGAGATTCTTCTTCTTCTTCTTCTTCACAGCTGACACCGTCACGTGGTGTAAAAAAAAAAAAAAAAAAAAAAAAAAAAAAAAAACTTAAAAATGGGGGAA